CTCCTATTTATAACTTAAATTGCAGTGCGAAAATGGCCTTCTCAAGCAGAAAAAGGGTTTTGTGGAGAATCTCCATCCTCAGTCTCTTGAACAGTTGCACTTTTGCTTTGTTAAATTGTTTTCAGAGCGACCAAAAGCCCACTTTATGGGACTCACTACAGCAAACACAGTTTTCTCAGATGCACGAGCGAACAGCATCATGGGATGTGTTGATTCAAATCGACAGGGATGTCCAGCAATCCTGTTTTATTTATAGATATTTTATAAGTGCCAAGTCACTCGCACCTACCGGTAAAATATTGCACCGATTGCCTTGTTTGGGTGTTAAAACTTGCCAAATTTACCTTCGTAGGGTCTGAAATCCGCTACAGAAAGACTTGGGATACGATATTTCTCTAACGACAACAATTCAAACTGACATTCGCATTGCCGCCATTGTCTTCGAAAAMTCGCTCCCMACTCCTGATTTCTTCCAGAAGAGTGTCTTAACCGCCTAGTCTAGCTTAATGATGCAGGCCTAGAGGCTTCTGTAGCAGAAAATGACTCGAAAAAACACTTATAAACGCTTTTTTGGCGAATTTGAGACTGTGCGCTGACTAATCTAGCAAGCAATCTCAAATTAGTCGTGCGTTACAGAAAGCCACGTTCCCCAGGGAATATGAATTCATGATAATTTGATTGACAGCACCTTTTATGGAGCTCAAATGTTTTTTTAATCTCTTGAATGTAAAAAACGGCCCTAAATCGAGAAAACTGAGCTGGCATCAGAGGGTTAATACATGTTATACAAGTTAGAGTACAAAGTAAAACACTACAACTGTGTAACATAAATACCACTAAATACTGCTAAATTATGCCAATTATATTGTTTTTTATTGTTTGATTAACACTATTTTGCAGTAAATAGTGGAAAATGTAAAACTAGTTAATTTATGTTAAATACCTTCCTCTTTGGCCTTTCGTTCAGCTTCTTCTTTCTTTAATTTTTCTTTTTCTGCTTTGCTTAGTTTGCTGCTTTTAGCTGATCGACCCTTTTGAGCCGGTTTTGGAGGCTGAAATGATTGGATGTAAAATTTTAAGCTCTGACAGCGCGAATCTGGTGCAATTGCAAGCTTGACGACAACAAAACAAATAAAATTGCATGTCTTTACGACTCTTCTGCGAGAAATATATGAGCATAACAAAGAAGCATGGTCTACTAGTATATATAAACGAAAATTGTTATACAATAGATAACAAATAAAGCAGTTTTTACTTACCATTTTACAAAATACGAAGATTGTTGTCCTTAGAGACGGCTGACCTGAGCCTGATTTGAGTCAGTTGCTGCTCGTAGAGGGCATGCGCCTGGAATTCAAAATGGCGGACAACTGTAGTCACGAAGAACGAATACTAAGCCTTTTTGGATAAAAATGGCAAGTTATGAAGACTTAAAAGGCCAATTTACATTGAAAATGAAGACAGGAAAGCTTAAGAAAACATTTGGTAGAGCAAAATTGTTTGAAATACGCCGCATTGTACGCAGAATCAAGCAACTTTCTCTCAAGAAAGGCACAGCACAACAACTCGACAAGAACAAGAGAAAGATTGACCGGCTTGAAAAACAACTTGAATTTCTAAAAGACACAAACTTTGAAGCATTCAAGACCTCGTTAGATACAGAGGATGAATTAAAAGACAGCAATATGGCTACTGAAGGGGACAGTGACGTGAAGTCTTTGGTCATGTCGAAATTGCTAGAAATTATTCGAAAATCGGAAAAGTCCCATCAACTCGAAATCAAACAAAAAAACACAAGAAAATCACCTGATCCTTATAAAGAAAACGATGCTCAAGTTGCGATTTTACAAGATGATTCACAATTAATTGAAAACAAGGAGATAGAGCTGAAAAATGAATTTTTCGATACAAATTCCCAAGATCTTGGTATAGAAAATTCAAACAGCGATTCAGAATCAT